GGTGATTGATTCCTTAGGCCTGGCTTTGCCTCCATTCCCCGACGTATCGACTTAAAGAATGAATTATAAGAAATTTAAGGCGTAGCTATTCAGCTTCGAGCTGTTTGAAATCCAAAGATGCCGATGGACGCCTGTGGGTACATGATACTACTTCTTACTTCATTTATATTAACAGTACACAGTCCTGAAGGAGTTAATGGTTGTGATGGTTTGCGTCTTTAACAGATTGTTGTGTCATTCTTAAACTACATTAAACCTTGACAATGTGACATACAAGAAAGATCACACACAGATAAAATGGTTAAATACAATATGTTTGTCAGCCATCTTGGATCAGCTATTTGGGTCTTACCAATAACGACTGAAGACTTAGATCTAAGGATGTGTTTGTATTGTTTTTTCCTTGGGTGTGACCATAACTACAAAAATGGAACCACCTCAAGACATAAAAGACGGAAAATCAGCAGTTAGGACTATTAACTCTTTTCGTTTGTGTTACTTTAAAAATCAGGTAAGAAGAAGTTAAATGACTTCCTTCCTGTGTTTTTTTTTTATTTTTTTATTTTTTCAAATCTTCACTGATGGCTACGTCCATTTCCTATATACAGCAATTGTTGTACCTCCATGTTGGTAAAAGAGAACCTCCTTCTTTTGCCTTGTTACATTTCGTGAAAAAAAAAACTTTCTTGCTTCATTTGTCAAGAAACTGATTAGGAAGCTGTCGAGAATTGTGGATAAGTCCAGGCTTAGGAACACATTATTGTTTCCTTTGCTAGTCATTAATCACCGCTGACTGGCGCTCGGACCCCACCCTTGAACCCCAAACCTCTCCGCACATTAACTCCCACTGTGCTAAATTGTTCTGCTCTGACTTCCACCTGCCACCTCCTCCTCCTCCTCTTTCTCACCCAGCAACCTGGCCCTCACTGTCCTAAGGCCCCTGTCACCCCCCCCTTCCTCCCTTCCTCCAGTCTCCTTCACCTCCCACACCTCCACCACCCCACACCAACTCATAGGCCGTAGCCCAGAGACAGGCATATAGACAGGGAGGCAGAAAAAAAACAAAACAAAGTACCACACCCACCCACACTGGTGTCCAGTGTTTATCGGTATGTCATGGAGAATGAGTCCGAGAAGCCTCTGATTGGTCAACTCTTCTCCATGTTGCATCACTATTTTGATCATAATGCAGCTTGGCTCACTGATAATCTGGGGTCAGCGCCTCGAGGTCTTAAAATTGGTGTTTTTTCCTCTAAATCAGCTCCTTTATGCGTCTGTTCCCACTAACCTTCAGTTATGTCTGAGAAGTGGCTGCGCTCCTGCACTGCTCGCCTGAATGTGAAGAATAATAGCCTTTCTATGCAGTGTTTGCTGAATAGAGAGGGAGAAATCATTGCACAGTTTCTTGCTCCTTAGTTACAGATTTTTCTAGCTTCCCAACTGTTGTCAAGAAGAGGACCGTGCCAATTAAGAGAGAATTTGTTGTCTGCACAAACAAGCCGCCAATGCACTGGCGTAAACACAACGTCAGAATGTGATGAAGGAGCCACTGTTATGCAGAGACAGGGAAAAGTCTGCGATGAGCGATTTCAGAAGGTGAATAACATTTTGTTTTTTTTCCTGTGGATCAGACTACCACTCCTACTCACCCTCCCATCCCCTACTTCAACCCCCGTCCTCTGATCCCTCCGGAGGCATTCCATGGTATTTTGCTGCTCTTACAGCGGCTACAGGCCTGTCCATCACCCTGACCTGGGGGAAGAATTCAATTCAGTTGCAGCCAGCGTCCATATTTGCCTTTTCTCATACTCTCTCTCTTTCTCTCTTTCTTTCTCTCTCTCTCTCTCTCTCCTTTTGCCTCTTCTCTTTCTCATTCACTCTCTTGGTCGGCATAGCAACAGGCGTCAGACTCATCAGAGATGGCACTGTTCTGTTCCTCTGACTCCCCATGTCTCTCCTTTCTCCCTGTATAACCCTATTTGCCAACAGTCGGTGGAGACCAATATATCGACATGGTCATGTTTCATCCTATAATTCAGTAATCTGCATTCATTGCAGTTTTAATTTGGTCTCTCTGGTCCAATAACTATCATACACCAAAAACATAATACCGACTAGAGGAGTGCTTGATTTTTCTTTTCGAGTTAGTGTTATTTTACGTTGTTCTGCCAATAAGGACATTATTTTGTTCTTTTGCTGGTTAATGCAGCCTGCGGTGTTAGCAGTTAGCAGCCTGAACTGAAGATATTAAGGCCTGGTCAGTGCTTCCTGCAGCCCTGCTACTATCACTAGCGCTGTTAGCATGCGAAGTTTAAAGTGTGTTGGCTGAAAGCAGCTTCCTCCCTGTTTGAATTTGTTCCCACCTGGTGCCATATTAAAAGCCTAAAGGTTTAATCCTTAAGAGTTCATCTCAAAACCCACCAGGTGGAGTCTCAATCTTTAATGTGGGTGGGTATTAACATTTCCATGCCTGACTGCCCTTCTGCTCTTCTGCCTGTTTGTGTGCCCGGCCGAAGCGTTGAGACTCAGATGGTGACTAGTTACTTTGTAAAAAAAAAACAACAACAAAGTGTTTGAAAAAAAAATAGTTAAAAAATAAATAAAATTGTTGTTAGCATGAGTGGCCTCCCTCATGTGCCGTGTGTGGTGTGCCATCATATGTGAAGATGTGTGTGCGTCCTCAGGTCATGTGTCAGGATTTAAAAGCTTCCACTCCACATCTGCTTCATTCACCATGTGACCCTAACTCCTCTCCGCTCCATGCCATTCCCCTCTTCTTACTCACTCTCTCTTTCCCCGTCTGATAAGAGGCCTGTGTTTCCAGGGCCGTTTGTTTTTTTTTTTTTTTTGGTATTTTTGCACTCTGCTCGCTGATCTTAATGCACTTACAAGTGTGATGGTCACACTCCAGTCCCACACAGACTCTGATTCTGCCTGAGGTTTGCTTCCCATCTTTCATTCCGAGTGTATCAGCTGCAGAGGCTAACTGAGCGTCTACAGGTGGTACACACACACACACACACACACACACACACATACAGGGTCACGTCAAGTCTCCTCAGTGTCAGTTGCCGGTCGGAGTCTGGGTCCAACTTCTTCTGGGTAGCAGCTTAAAAAACAAAAGTATTCCTCCATTCTTTGGTGTGGGAAGTAAAACCTGGAGCAGGACGGAGTGAACTGGGCTGGAGTGAGACCATCACGCTGGTGTGGGGAGTGACTGTGTCCTGTCAGCCTCTGGTTAGTGTTCTGTTCTAATCTGCTGGGCTCCCTTTGTGAACCTGTGGACGGTGCTTCTGTTCTGAGTGCCATGTAAGAAACAAAACGCTTCAGTAAGAAAAAAAAAAGAGGATGTTTTACTTATTATGTATTTTAATTTACCTTAATATTTTTTTGTTTGGTTATTCAAGGGTTTAAAGTTCAAATATCAAACCCTCTACGTGGGGACTTTCCAACCTGCACTCCTTTTAAATGTGATGAAGTCTTTATGTTGGTCTGAACCATGTGTGCCAAATTGTATGTATATTCCTCTGTCAATGCTTTCAATATAAACAGTGCATAAAAAATCTGAAGAACAATTCTGCTTTTGGATGCATTTCCGTCAACTTTAAAAGGAAGTAGGAGTTCCCGGTGTGTCGGATTTGTACTGCATACACTCACAGGTGCTGAGACCATTTTCTACACGGAAAACGTGTTGTTTTTGACTGATTGGAGTCTTGCTCAAACATCGGCCTGCACTGTGCCTGTTCATGCACAAAGCATACCTCAACATGGGGCTCATCCATCAATATTTACATCCTTTTCACTGTGCTTTATCACCTTTTCAAACACAGCCATGTTTAGGAAATGGGCTGGTCATTTGTTGGCTACGGCAGAGGTGGACTGGAAGAAATGAGGCTGGTGTTGACATTAGAACTTTATAGGAAAAGGAAATTACAATTTGATTTGATTCATAGTATCAGTAATCACTGTCCTAACGACTTCTTGTACAGCACTTGTGAATCGTAGCCTGTCCAGCTAGTACATGTTCAAACAAAAGGCAGTCCATCCCAGTACCTTCTATTCCAGAGGCTAACTTGGCTAAGTGCTACGTCGCTCTTCAAACAAGGGCCTTTCAGAGTTCAAGAACTCAGCTGAAATGATGTTAGCATGTCATGTAGCTATGCTACAAAAAAAAAATGTTTTGGAATCAGTTGTACAAAGTAAAAGGTCTGTCCACAAACTTTCACTTCTACTGTCGTCTTCAGTATGCTTGTTGAAGACTACCAATCGTAGCACACTCTTCAAGGGGTGTCCAGTTGTGTTACAGTAGACAAAAAGGTAGAGATGTAGAGCTAGCTTAGGTAGCCTTTAGACTCTAAAGCGTACAATTACAGTTCAAAACTTGTTCGTGGAAGTAAAACTAATATGATCTTGAAGAATATGGATTTTCAGTATTTTCATTCGAGAATCTGGACTTCTCTGGAGTCACTTTCCTCAGTGGTTACAGTAGCCAGAACTGCATTTTTGGTGTTTAAAAAAAAAGAGAGAGACTTCAATTCCAAGAGAGACTAGAGAGCAGTACAGTGTCTTTGTGGATTTCATTTTACACAACAAACAAATCTGTAGACTATATCACAGGAGAGAAGGTGTTTAAACCAGCAAAACATTTGGTTTCATCACAGTTGACAAATGGAAGGCTGTGTTTATTTTACATATAGTCTCTAAGCCCACCAGGTTCAATCCTACTTTCTGTTTTAATAATAATGTCAGTATTAAAATGTAAAAAAAAGTTACATTTACCATTCCAAAAAACATCACTTTTGTCCGATTTTCAGTGTTTGGCTCGTGTTTCTGTTGAGGGAGCAGATGTTTTCTCAGAGTGTTGGCCAACGTCAGACTCAACGTTTCCGCTTTACAGCTGATCTCAGATCAGCCTAGAGTCCTTTCAGTGTCCACTCACCTGCAGGTTGGCTATGACAATCATCCTGCAACCTTTCCTCTCCAGTTACATTCATACCAAGGAAAACACTACTCTGACATCTGGAATTTGATTGCATGCTTGCAACAGCATTTGAAAAACAGATTATTTTTTTTTCTTTTAACATTCCCACTTAGTTCTTCTTTGAGGCGAGATGCTTTTGAGATGAATTCAATCAGTGGGGTGGGTGTTTACTGGGTTTCCTCAGACCAAGCCCTTCTACTCTGGCCTGCAGCCTAACTGCTTTTCCACCATGGTAAAACTATGTTGTACAGCATTTTCAAAAAGTTTCCCAGGCATTTTAGACACCTGAGCAAGGCACTTATAATTCATTGTTTGCAGTATTAGATTTCATAGACTTAACACACATGGTTTTAGAATTAAAACTTGCACTAAAAGACAGTTCGGTTTCAACTGTTATTCATCTTTTCGTCACGGCATGCTTTAGCCTGGGTCCTTCACAGAATCCCATCGTTCAGCTGTGTTTCTCAAATCAGAGTGTTTATTGTGTAAAAAAAAAACCCAAACATCACATGCATTTTCACTCACTCCACCAAACATCTCTGCACAGAACATCACATGCATTTTCACTCACTCCATCGCATGTTCAACAAAAGCGCTAGTGCTGGATCGTTTTCAAACACATTTCCACACGTCCATCCTGAGAACCCAAACAGTCACACCTGCTCCCAGCTGGTGTTTCTCTGTTGTGAAGGTTTTGCAATTTGGCTGTGCTTGTCACGTACAGTAACAGGATCCATTCCACCCAGTGTTGGTGGGTTGGAGTGATGGTGGGCTCAAAAGTGATCCTTCAGTTCGTTAGGGAAATTGCTCCAATGTGAGAAAGCTGCAACTGGTAACCAATGAGGGTCGCAAGATGTGCCCAGTTCAAACCGTTTGAATTTACTTGGGTCACATTTAGACTTCTAGCTTTGTAACCCAAGTAAAGTGAGGTGACGCCCACATGGCACTGATAGCTGGGTCGTTTTAGTCTACCAAAGGAAAAAGAGTGTGCAGTTTGCCATCTCCCACCCTTGTTTATTATTCATGTATAGGCATAATGTCAAGTAGTAGAATGTCCTCCTCGACTTATCAAGTTGCCAAGTAAAGCCAATCCACTGCCCTCTGTGCCACCTGTGTCTTCACCTTCAGCATGGCCAGCTGGTACCTTCATGATACTCTGGGAATGCTTCAGAAACTCACATATTTTCCTGCTATGATTTCCCTATTAGTGTACAGTCAGCAGTGGTAATTTCAAACTAAAAAGTAAAATCCTAGCCAACCAGCTGATTTCTAACCCTCTTCTCTTTCCTTCTTTTTTCGTTGGGTTTCATTTAGTGGTTGCAAACACTCTTCTCGTCTTGACTTTGTTATTTAAACCCTTTGAAAAGATGCTGCTTCTGTGCTTGACTCTGGGTTTACTACGTGGTGCCATGGTGTCCACATGGCCCCTAGAGCTTGTGATGCTTCAGTGTGTGATGTTACCATATGCCTTACATGTTTTCCAGGACTAATAAAAAAGCATAACAAAAAAAATGTCAGGAAATGAACTTTTTATTTCGCTGCTCAATCTTATATATATACATATAAACAGAGGAGGAAATACATGTACAATTTGTCTTAAAACAATGACCTGTGACAACTCCCTTACAAGCTAAAATCAGCAGTTTACACATGGTGCTGTTTTTCAAGGTTACCAGGTAGAATCTGCAGGTCCAACAAACTATTCAAAAGTAAATCATCTAAGTAGTTTTGAAACCTCAAAGCATTTCAGTTCGGTTCTTGGTTCATGTTACATGGCATTTGTAATGATATTTTGAGCAGGTTGAACACAATCTAAATCAGGGATCTTCAATGTTTTTTGTTTTGTTTTGAACGACTAAAGTGTCCGATCAAACCAATGTCTCTCGACCCCAGTCTATCCACAGACCCCATTTGGGGAAATCCTAACAGTTTAACTTTGTAATTTCTGTTCAGATAGTAATACTCTCTCTATGTTGGAGAGTACCCAAACACTGAGAGTCCTTAAAAAACAATCACATTTTATCCTTTAAAGTTCATTAAACAACAATTTACTGTATGAAATGTCTGTACAAAGTATAAAATTATATTTGTGGTGTTTAGCATAAATGTTAGGAATGTTTAAAAAAGATCAAGGCAGGACTTAGACCTTCATTTTGGAAAACAAAAATCCAATATCTCTGCCTTCATCTGAAGAACAGCCAACACTCTACTCGAAACATTTAAAGAACAGCAATTTTATAAATAAAGCAAGCAAGAAAGTATGAACTCCGGATTATTTTCGGAAAATGGTGGGTTGCTCGCCAATCCCAAGGGAGTTCAAAACCTCAGACAAACGATTTAAGTACGAAGAATCTGGATAACCATTGCTGTCGGGGAGATACACAAAGAAAAGAAATGTTAAATTTAAAAACACACATTGTGATGTTCATATAGATGTGATTCCCACTGATTCCACTCACCCTGATTTCCCACCATGTAGGCTGGTCTTGTGTGGAATGCTGTCCCAAGTGACCTTGGCCTTTGAGTCTCTGTAGGTCACAGTGAAGACAAGTCCCTGCCTGAAGGCTTTCTCCAGCCTGGGCAGAAGCTTCCTTGCCTTTTCGCAGTCAGGAAGGAAGGCTTCGAAAACACCCCCTTGAAATGGTTTTCCTGGAGATGGGTGATCACTCTGGTCGGGTAGATGAAAATAAAGTTATAAACACCCCATGTTACTACGGCCCTGCCCAAGAACATTCACAGTCACAATATCTAAGCAGTTTGTGATAGTGTTGAGATCACTAACTAACAGTAGTGTTAAATAAAAGATGACTCAATACTAATGAAAAGTTAGTAAGCAATTAATAAAGGACAAAATATGTGTAAGTGAGAAAATAATACGACGTAGGACAACCAAAAGTTGTGCTATGAACATGCTAATGCTAGCTAACATAATTAAAACTGTCATGTACAGTACAAATTACATGAAATTTAGCAACCATGGCTAAATCAGAAAGATATGTTATAAAACATATGTTTTTAAAATACCATAGTGTATAAAGTAAAATGGTTAAAAGATAAATAAGAATATAGTATAGCAAAAATGTTACCATAGAGAAAGCTAATGTTAGCCATGTTGAAACTATAAAATTGCCATGGAAATTATTTAAATATATATATATATATATATATATATATATTTAAGAAGGATTTCAGCCACAGAAATGCTGATTCTAATACTACCACTGGTTAGTTAAAATAATAAATAATACATTATATATACTAGTCATTGTATGGGAATTTAATTAATCTGCAATAAGTACAGACTTTGTGGCGACATGTCTAAATATTCCCCTGAGGGTCAGTCAGAGCTTTTAACTGTTTTTATGTGGCAACCAGGATGAAAGTTTTCCAAGTCACATCCAACTTGAACTGAATTTAATTCCAAATTTTTGTTAAATTCATTTTAGTGGAATAGACCATCCTCACTTTTTAATAAAGGTTTGAAAACATGCCCTAATGTGCAGCGTGTAAAGACAAAGAGCAGCTGTATCACGCAGACATAAACCGGTGTACACTGACCGCACATGCATTTCCTCACTACATCGTGTTGTTTCTAAATGGTTAAATCCCAATCGCTGCACTTTGTGAAAGGTTTCTTCTCAATCAGCTCATATTGAGGATATCTCACGAGAACATCACTCACCCCTTGGATACCATCTGGAATGCAGTAAGTGATCTTGATAGCCGGGTCCTTGCTGTGACCAGGGATGCTAAAATTGAGTTTGTTGTGGCTCATTTTGCCCTGGATGCCCCACGGCGTTGGATCTGTTTCATGACACACTCTACAGTGGACGTGCACCAGGTCCAGGCATTCTGCGCACAGGACAGCCCCACACTGCGTTCTCACCACTGACGGCCCATTGTTCCCACACACACAGATGTCTCGCACGTTATGCTGAGCCGTCTTGGACTCCAGTGGGATATCCCATGTCTCTCCTTGCCTGTGCTGGACGCCGTCCTTGAGGACAGGGTGTGGGCTTCTTTCTTTCTTTCCAGCTTTATCTGGACTGACAACTGCTGACCCCACTCCATTCCCACGCTTCAAACTTTTACCATTTTCTGCTGGACAGTGCTGGACATGTATATCTTGCTTATGTCCATCTATCTCCAATGTCCCAGGGACTTTTATTTTCTCCCTGATGACAGGGTCCTTCCTCAGTAACTGCTGGTTGATTTGGCCATTCAAATGTTCTGTTTCCTCACGTTCACAGCCAAAACCCCAGCTCACTGCTCTGTCAGCACTGTCGAGCTGCAGAAGAGTATCTTCTTCCTCATTACTCTGTAAAAAGGTGGAGGGATTCCTGTTGAAGGGGGGATCACTGGCGTCCCGTTGTGTCATAGAATTTCCTGTGAAGACCTCCTTAAGTGTGGCAGCAACCTTAGAGCAGAGCTCTTTTGGACCCATTAGGAATAAGACATTTTTAAAAACCTGCACAGTGACCTTCTTGAAGCGACTGCACACCTCAGCGCAACAGGCTCGCAGAGTGTCGTCTGCCGGATCGGTGACACCCAGCTGTGACAGCTTCAACTCCTGCACAGAGAAGTCAACGCGCACAGAGTCCAGCAGCTTCTGGAGCTCCAGTTGACAGGAGGTCACTCTGAAAGGCTGTGAGCCGCTCAGAGTGACGACCTGCTCTCTGGTTATATCTGAGTGTCTGTCTTTCATCTGGACATCAGAGGTCAGGGTATCCAGCCGGAATTTGTAGGCTTCTTTAATGTACTGCCACAGTAGGTGTGGAACTGTGATCTCCGCATTATACACACTGTCACTAGATTTTGGGACGCTGAAGCTGGAAGACCTGGCTCTGTCTTTGACCGCGGTCCTGCTGCTGTCGTCCTGCGTCTTCTGAATCAAAACCTGTGCCATCTGCTGAGATGTTCCCGAGAAACTGCTCGCTCGTTTCAAGGAAGTTCCCGACCCTGATGTTGAGAGCTTGGGTTGTTCTGACATACTGGAATGAGTATTGCTGAGAGATAACGTCAAATGCTTTTGCTGATTGTCCATCACATCTGAGGTTTGTGTTTTATTCTGTGTGAAGGAATTCACTGAGTCTTCATTTTTAAACAAGATGTCGACTCCAGTGTTTTGGGATTCTGCTCTGGAGAACCTCTCTCCTAAAATCGACGCCTTTTCTATCAAAGAATCCCGTCCCAACGTTGGCCCGGCGTATGTTTGTCTACCAGAAGATTGAAACCTTTGGGAGATTAGGTCGGCTGGTCGACTGGCTAATGTCGCCAGTCCCGAATCCTTGAATCGAGCTGCTAGTTTACACCTTCTGGTTCCATCACCGGCCGTCTCATGCTCGTCAGTACTCGGAGGACGGTCCGTCCCATCATTCGGACAGCTTTCGGCAGAGGGCGCTCTCACATTCTGGGCCGGGCTAGTATCTTGTGTAGTATGTTTAAGTAGACTGGCTACACTCTCTTTTTTAGCATTTAGTTTGCCATGGTCCATGAGAAGGATCTGCTTGGCTTCTGAAACATCACTACTGCTGCCAATGATGTAAATGTTTTCTGCATCTTCGTTTAGGAGAAGTTTCGGCAGTTGAGCGGCTAAGCTTTCTTTTGCTCTTTGAAGGTCTTTTCTTGACGGCAGTTTACTCTTAGGGAATTGGATTTGACGGATCCTGGTTTCGTTTTCCTGGTACAGCCTTCTAATGGCCTTCTGTGCCATCTCCAGTCTCTGCAGGTCTTGGCCACTCTCCCTCACGTCTGGTAGTACTTGAAGAAACAAAGTAGTCAATCCCTGGTTTGTCACATCCTCCACTTCCACACCATTCTGACTGAGAATCTTCTGGAATTCTTTTTGATAGTTTTTCTTCAGGTACTGGAACATGCCAGCATCCACAATCATTGATTCAAAGTCCTCCACTGTAGTCTTAGGAGGCCCAGAGGACCGAACATCCGGACCCTGAACCTGACTGCTGCCTTCGGCACCGTGACCCAGAAACCTGGTGGTACGGTGTGTGGTTTTGCTGTAATCATTTGTTAGCCTTTCGTCTTTGTGTTTATGAGGTTTCCTGCTGCGGTTCTCTGAGCCCTGGGTAACAGACACCTTTGAGGCCTGATCAGACCTGAGATCAATGAAGTCTGACGGATATGACCCATTTTCCATAGGCTGAAGGCCTTCACAAGAACCAAGCAAATGAGCCAAGGCAGCCTGGACATTGGAGTAGGTGCCGTTCAATGTGCAGAATCCTTCGGTGGTGAAGTTTGTCTGCACATTGGGGTGACTCTCTTGGAGTCTCGTTAAAGACAACAACCCGCCCGGGAGCTGCGTGTAGTTGATGGTTGCTGATAAACTCAAAACGACCTAAAACAGTGGGAGATAAACAACATGTTATTGTTTGTCTGATATTTGGACATAGTCTACGATTAAGAAAGAAAGCTCAAAACTGCTAGCTAACAAGATGTAGCCAGTCAGTGTGTATTTGCACATTTGATCATTTTATACATTCAATTTTAATACCTCGTCTGGGTTGAGGTTTCCGTGATGTTCTCTCAACGTGAGTGTATGCTTCCTGCCATCCACTTCCAGAACATGCTGCCGGTGCTGAAGGACTCTCTGTGCCACTGTGTGACATCAGGAGGGAAATCAATATATGAAGCACTCTGACTACAAGCCTTTAGCACTGACCACTCCGCTGAGTTGCATGTGAGGTCAGTGGAGCTCGGTGTAAATCACTGGTAACAGCCAACATAGTGCAGTAATTCATTATTACTTTGGAATGAGTTGTGGGCAAAGAGACAGTGAGGTTTACTGAAAACCACAGTTGAAGAGCTGGACATAAGTGTGCAGTTGAAAAAGTTCCACGGTGTTTGTGATATGTCCATTTAATTAAAAAGCTCTGCTCACCTTCTGTTCTAACTATGCTGTATTAAGACTGTGGTTGTGTTAACTATGCCGAACTTAAAATATTATTTAATCCTTAGTTTTTAATATTTTTTATTTCTTTTATTAGGTTTAAGGATATATTGTCTGATGTGATGACAGAGTCAGCTTCAGGAATTTTTGTTAAATGGAGAAAGATTTTCTTTGTTTTTAGCACTTAATTAGCCTTCCGGAATGAGACGAAAGTAAAACTAGCTGTAGGCTTTTCCCTGCTTGGTGTCCTCATTGTGGTTTGGGTTGACCTCACACCAAAACACTGCATAACATATCATTTTTCACAGAGCTATGTCACCTTTACAAAGACGCATTCACGTTCACTGTATATTTATTAGGATCCAACCCTAAGATATATATATATATATATATATATATATATATATATATATATGTGTGTGTGTGTGTGTGTGTGTATATATATACACACACATATATATATATATATAGGAGGTTGTGAGTCATAAGAATAAAACTAACTTCATGATTTTGATGTGAGAACCTGGGTTTTTAAATACAAGTAATTTTTAATTTTTAAGTCTATTCTGAGTTTGTCTCAAACTTCTGCACCGTAATAGAGCACTGCACCATAGTGTTGTTAATTTGTTGTTAATAAGATATTCCACATTGTACTATGATACTTGCTTTTATTGAACTGTGTATATTGGAGAGTTTTCTTCAAATGACACTGCTGGGAAATTTTGCAATCATGACAGCAAAATGATTAGTATGCACTCTGTTCAACTATCCTGACCTTCATTTTCCTCGAAGGCGATGAGAGCAGAAGCAGGTGACGCCTGGACAATGTTGATAGACTGAATTTCCCCTCCTCCATTTCTTTTTCTCAGGAAGTGGATAAGAAGCTTGTCTCTCAGTCTATCATGGTTCATGTCTGTGGGCAGACCACAGACCCTTATGGTCCTGTTTGGCTCTGCCATCTGCTGGGAGACCACAGTCACTGCTGTGAGGGCACAAAACTCTAAACAGCACAAGCACCTCAGGGGAGAGTGAAAATGAGTGTGAACACTGACTGTTATCACGGTTATGCTTACACACGTTACACCTGAATGAAGCGTTAACGTGGTCAACGCTACAATCAGGCAGCCATTCAAAGACCCCACCCTTTAAAACAGTGAGAAATACATATTTGATAGTAACGCGCCCTCTACTGGGGGTGCTAAGCTAGTAGGTTTGTGAGTTTGTATATGTATTAAACAATTTACAACTACTAAATAATTCATTTTGTAAGTGTTATTATTGTTGTTATTACTATTACTTTTATTATTATTATTATGTACTAGTAGTAGTAGTAGTATTTGCTCCTATTTTAAAATAACAAAATTGCATTTAAGAATTATGGCTCTATTTGAGTGTGAAAATCTAAATTTAGTTTCGTTTTAACTGCTGCAACAGCTGCATTCTGAGCCCTTTGTAATGTGTTACTATGTTGAACACCTTTGTTTTTGCAGTGGTTTATATACCAACGCAGTGATATTTGTGTGGTTTTTACAAATGTCACATGTGCAACAATGTGTACAGATTCTGAGGTTTATATAGATATGACCTCCACAAACACACAGAAAACAAATACACACGCGCGCGCACACACAAAGCTCACGTTGTCTTGATAACAATAAACAAATGAACTTGCTCCCAATGAGTCTGATACCGATCGATGTCTAACCGAACCATCGATAACGATCCTGAGCTCAAATCTACAGCCAACTTAAACGTATATAACAAATACGACTTTTTATCTTTTGGTGAAGGACTTCAGGAAATGTAAGTACATCTATAGGAGGGTTGAGTGACAAGGAAGTGGAAACCAAAACTCGTCTAAATCAGTTCATCTGTCGACGGATCGCAAACGTGGACGAGACGCTCTTACAGTCCGTCGCTACGTGCACATACATTAGTAACCGTCACTGACCTTGAGAGCTGGACGAGCGTCTTATGTCCAGATTTGAAAAACCGTCACACAGTACAAGCCACGGGAGGAAAAGTGAAACTACTACAAGCTATGTGTTTCTTAGTATCTATGCCAGGGGGCGACAAAGTTACACTTAACCTGTTGATTTCCATTTCCTGCCATTACACGGTAACTACAGTTCACTTTTCAATATTTCATTGTCTTTGGTCCACTCCGTTATACAAATGGTAATATGGAGGAAGCCATACACATTATTATGCTAAGTTAAGGATGTGATGATAATATATCCAAAATACAACTTAAAATGTGCATTATTTTTGCCCTCAATGTGGACATAAAAAAGACTCAAACCTGCTTAAATGTCCCATTTTCCGCAGCGCATGTATTTAATATATTACACACATATAAATACAGATTGCAGGAATCACCTATCAAACATATCTTCTGGTATTGTCTTAATATCGAAGTTTAATCATCGTATAAATATGGAGTACATGTACCGTGTATGGCGTTTTTCAGGGTATATTGTCTTTAATAAACGTCTGGGGGGAGTCATATCTCACACTACGTTGTGTTCTACTCAAAAACACAACAGAGCAAGAAGAGACCCAGCTTGTGTCCAATCAGAAGCTCTTTTACTTCATCTTCTGCACAGGCGCAGAAGCTACATGTGTGAAACGTCGTGTGCGGTGGAGGTCACATACGTCTGAAAGAAAACCAGGTGAGTTAAGGCTGGTAGAGTAAAATAAATACTTTGATTGTCCAAATTTGTGTGGCTCTAACATAAAAACCGCGTTAACATTTAGTGCGAGTGTAACTTAGAACGGCATGTTGCGTCACGGATGTAGAGTTAAAACCATCTGTCAGCTAAGCCAACATGTCACCCGGCGTGCTAGTTTTTTTGGCAAACACGTGATTTGTTTTCCCTTTATCTAAACGTTCCATCTTGTTATTTTTTACTTGGATTCAGTGTGTTTTGCTGTATTAGGACTGTGCTGCCTGGATTCGAGCTGCTGCAGTTTAGTTCGCTGCATGGCTAACGCTAGACAGCTAGCTAACACCATTTGCCTTGGCATCAGTCAACCCGAAGGGCAGAACATTTTTTGTGAAAAATGGGGTCGGGGTTACATGGCTTTATAAATTGTTTATCGCCCTTTATGTCAGTGATATTAAAGTGGACAAGTGCTGGTTTACGTGCATGTTAAGTATTTGTCTCCTGTGTATTTTAACTCCACAGTAGGTGGCTGTCATGGCAAAGCTGTTTGAGTCTATTGGGAAGTTGGGGCTGGCCCTCGCTGTTGGTGGAGGGATTGTTAACTCCGCCCTTTTCAATGGTAAGTCATTAATAAACGTCTTACTCTTCAAGATTAAAATCCTGATTTGTTGTTTGCCTCAGACAGAGCATGTGGTTGAACTAGTGGTTATGATATAAAATGATGATTCATTTGGGTTTCACCTTTATCTGCTCCTGATCTCATGGGTCACTACCACAGGTTAACCCAGTACATTCTGAAAATGTTATACACATGCATGTAACCAAATTATGGGCTGTGGTTGATGCGATTGGCCCTCATACTTAATTTTTAGAATGTGTATTTATTCCATTATTTGGTTATAACATTATCAAGTCTACAATCTTAAATCAAGCATTCTTTTAATAGAGGTTGTATAATTAAAATTTTTTTTTAAAACAATAGACCCATGAACTATGTACTGACACTAACACCTTGTGTTGTATTAAAATTCCTCAATGTGATGACAGTCTTTCAACTTTCCCTGTCTTTCCACAGTTGATGCAGGACACCAAGCTGTGATATTCAACAGATTCAAAGGAGTGCAGGATGACGTAGTTGGTGAAGGCACCCACTTCCTTATTCCATGGGTTCAGAAGCCAATTATCTTTGACTGCCGCTCTCGCCCACGAAATGTGCCTGTCATCACTGGCAGTAAAGGTACATTTTGTTAAATAAAATGTAAAATAAAAAAATACTTGGATTTGTATTCTTTTGTCAGCATACATGTTGGCAGCAGATCCTGGTACATGATGTGCATAAGAAAATATTTGGATGTATGATACTTGATTGACGTTTGAACGTTGACCCCCACAGATCTGCAGAATGTCAACATCACACTGCGTATTCTCTTCCGTCCCATGACCAAGCAGCTTCCTCGAATCTTCACCAGTATTGGTGAGGACTACGATGAGCGCGTGCTGCCCTCCATCACCACAGAGGTCCTCAAAGCTGTGGTGGTGAGTTTCAAAATAATGGAGAGATCCCTATATTTGTTGGTGTGTTTAAATGAGCCGGTTAACCAATTCTGAAAATGTGTCTGCCAGGCTCGTTTTGACGCTGGTGAGCTCATCACACAAAGAGAACTGGTGTCTCGACAGGTCAGCGAGGACCTGACAGAAAGAGCCTCAACATTTGGCCTCATCTTGGATGATGTTTCACTGGTAAGAAGCAGCAGACACAGTGGGCAGTGACAACTACTTTGAATTGTTTCAATTTGAACTGGTTACATAATCGCAATGTGTTCCTTCAGACACACCTGACCTTTGGCAAAGAATTCACAGAGGCCGTAGAGATGAAGCAGGTGGCCCAGCAGGAGGCAGAAAGGGCCCGATTTGTAGTAGAAAAGGTATTCTTTTTTAAATGCTTTTCTCAACTTTGCTTGTTTTGTTTTTTTTGGAACAAGGCATAATTTGTGTCACCCTTGTATCCTTTTAGGCAGAGCAGCAGAAGCAGGCTGCTGTCATCTCAGCAGAGGGTGATTCCCAAGCTGCCTTGCTCATTGCCAACTCACTCATGGAGGCTGGGGATGGTCTGGTGGAGCTGCGAAAGCTGGAGGCAGCCGAGGACATCGCTTTCCAACTCTCCCGCTCCCGTAACATCACCTACCTTCCCTCAGGGCAGGGCACCTTGCTGCAGCTGCCACAGTAATAATTTTTCACCAAAGGTTCGCCCCACTTTTGCTGTCTCCACCTGCTAAATGGGCCGTTGAAGGAGGAGTTGGAGGACTCAGTAATGAACTTTCTAACTTCACACACATTCCTCCACTCTTTCTAACCAACTCTGAACTGAGCTCTGTTCATCAGCATGGTGGGAGTTAAAGTAACTGACGGACACAGTTTTGAAGTTCATCTGCGTGTATTGAAGTGAAGAGGAGCCAATTGTTTCCAGTATGTTGTTCCCCTCCCCATATATTCACATTTTTTTTGAAAGAATTGATGACGCAGTACTTACTAAAGATTGTGCTTACTCTATTGTTTTAAATGCAACGCACTGAATCAGATAAAAAAACAACTGATTTCATGTAGGTGATTCCTATAAACAAGTTGTGTGATTAATAAACTATCACTCTGTTCAGCTGGAACATCTCTTTGGCTAACAACAATAAACAATATTGGTGTATGACTGGTTGTTTGTGGCTTTGAGATATGGATTCAGATTAAAATGTTCAAAATAATTTTGCCTTCTCTACTACTGTCACTGTGTCCTTGAAATTGTATGAAAATCATAATAAGCATCAGTTCTATAATTATTTAAATAATTTAAAACTTTCCAGTTCAACTGGAAAGCTTCAGGTGGTTTCTTGAGTTGTAATTCTAGTTATCACCACACGAGGATGCTGTTGTTACAGTATAAAGTGGCACGTAGTGTACGGTTGCATCATTTGACATTGCTCTCTTATGTTTAAATATACGTTTCAACTACTTTGAGGTACTGTATGCATTGTAGCATCTAATTATCTAATGTGTGACCAATTTTATTTTCTTTATTTGAAATTTAAATGAGCTATATGTCTGAAAGTGATTGTGAAAAATTGAATGTAAGTGAACCTGTGACTCACTGGCAGCCTGTCCACCCTGCCGTCGGCTGTGAATGACACCAGCTCCCTCTCCACCACTTAAAACAGGAATAAATAGAAGATGTGGGAGAGGTGGGTGTTTCGCTCCGATAAAATGTTTGTAAGACATTTAACGTTAAGGGTCAAATTGATCAAAAGTGGAATTTTTTAATCATAATTCTGAGTTATAAAGGAGAGGAAAAGCAAGGTTTGCACGAATAAAGATGCCTGCCGGATGTGTATTGTAAGTCCAGTCTGACACACAGTGACGTATACTTCTTCTTAGAATTCCAACACTAAATAGCTTCGCACCATGCCTTTATTTATTTAATTTCTCAGCTAGGGTAATATTTTTCCCCACAAACACTGGAGCCGGAGTGGGCCCCTTCTTCACCCTGGGAATTTCATCCCCAAACCCGACCCACTTTGCTATGGGGTGTATATACTGGATCTATAATATGTCGATAATGAAATACAATAAAATCTGGTTTAAAATTGAATTTAAATGTGGAACACGGTAAATTGTACGCTTGACGCAGTAGGTGGCAGTGATGTTACTTAATGCAGACCTCTAGGTTGGCTTAAGCTGAACAGAAAAATACAACACTACAAAAACAGACGCCAGGATTTATTGCAACTGTGATTCATGGGGAAGTCACGGGTGAGTTTGAACGGGGGATGATAGTGGTAGTCCGTAACGCAGGCTGCAGCAGCTAACAAACTGTGCAGATCTTGGGATTTTCCAAAACCACCGTCTCTCGGGTTTACCGCGAATGGTATAAATGTCATAAGACGTGCAGTCAGCGGGGGACCGGCCGGCCCACTTTGCTATGCAGGAGAAATTTAAATAAATGAAGCAGCAGCTAGCTCCTACAATGCCTTTTTATTGGGTATAAGTTAACAGAAAACACTTCACTTTCACAATGATTAAATTAAAATCAGATAAATATTTTAAAGGTAAAAAAATCTGATAAAGAATAAAATGTATTTATCTTTGTACATGAACAGTCATTTGAAATCAAAATATAATTTGTCTTCCCAACAGGTTATTGTTATGTTTACACTAAACTCTTAAGTAGCTACACGCATATTTAGTAGGCTGATTTCAGCATCAAAATCATCCTTAGCAAAGTACTGGTTTCTGCAAGTTTGTTAATGACAATATCATTGTCAATATATATGAGAATTTCCTTCTCTGTGTACATAATAATGTGTGTCCCGATTAGTCACTACGGCCTTGTGAATCACTATAACAGAAATATTTAGACACTACTGAATCATTTGGGGTGATGGGTTAAAAGCAGAGGCTCAGTTTCGTTGTATCTCAGTGTTACAATGACAATAAGGACCATAAAATAAAAATAAAAATAAGGCAATACCAAGAGACAATATAATTTAAAGTCTCATTACTGGTAAATTAAAGTTCTAATTGCGTTCAGAGTAAACGCGCCATCGAAATTGAATATTCCTCATCAATGAGTGGCTTAAACCTAGCGTGGACGCGCACCGCGTCTGGAGCACAGACTCAGACACGCGGTGACGCGCCTGCCCAGACAGTGGCCTGAGCGCGGGAGCTCGGTCGGGGCCACGTAGCGGCGCTGGAGGAGGAGGACGTACGGGTGCAGACACCTTAGCAGCCCGCACCATCAACAAACCCTCTCCTGCAATATTAAAACCCTCCAAAAGGCTACTGACATTTTCGAACAAATGCATATCCGCCTCCAAAGCAGAGGAGGAGGCTGGCAAACAGGAGAAGTGCGTGTTCAGTCCAGAATCTGTGCAACTCCGATTGCACGGAGGGAGGTCGCTCTTCTGCACGAAGGTAAGCCAGAAAACCAACAACAAAAATGTGTCTAAATAAAATTAATGTAAGCCTCTGTATTTGTGACAAGCGTGTCGTTCGCTCGTAAAAGCCCTCACTGGTCGCCGGTAGCTGGCGGCAGGAGATGCAGCTACAGTATGAAGTGTTAGTAAATGCAGAGAGCAGGGAGTTTGTCGCAGACTCGAGTTTGAGAGAGTGGGTTTGTCTGACAACCCTCCACAACAGTCTGATGGGTTTTGTTGTTGAAAAGCGGCACTTTCCATGTTCCTTGCACGGCATGAAAGAAATATCGATACAAAAGCGTGACACGGGCTTTTCATTCGCCCGTCACGTTCCTGTATCAACTGTCACACTTGCCTACGAAGGTTCCACTGTGGAAATGAAGTGGAACGTTAATGCTAAATATCCGACGTAACTGTTAGCACTAAGCTAAGTAGCCCAATTCAGGGAGCTTTGGGTTAAAGAAAATGAAAGTCCTCTATCCACTGAGAACTTGTGCATGTCAACAAATATTACCACGTAGCCGGTGCAACATTGTCACTGTAATATTATTTTTTAGTACGTTTTGAATGTACTGGGCTATTGACTAATGTGACACAGTTAGCATGTCATGTGTTGTGCAGGTTTGTACCTATGGAATATCGCTAGCTTCCTGGCTAAGTAGCCGAAGACAACTTCGGGGCCTCACTGTGTTTGTGCTGTTCGTTGCACTGTGCAGCGTTTTATCTGCTTCATTTGCCTCTAAATATCACTAATGTGTCGTAAGGTTTTAGGCATTTGAAGTACAACAACACTACAACAAAAAGAATGATTCATTATTTTGATTTCGCTCTACTTAGCCACTTATGTCTCAATTAGGTCTAGTGCTGTCGGTTTTCACGTTAAATTTTTATTTGTTGATTCTCTACTGTTGCGAAATTTGAATAGCATAATACAGTACACTAAACTGTATGATATAATATAGCTTCATGTTGTCCCTATCTGTTTTGTGAAATGGGGAGAGCCAACTGGTAATTACTTGTGAGCTTACTCTACTGTAATATCTGTCATGTGTGACAGAAGTAAATAATAATAGAATAACAGCACATAAATAAGAGTATATAGTTAAAAATAACTGTACAAAATCAGCAAAGGCTCACTAATGCCTTTGCTGGAAAAGGATTGTTAGTACTAAGCTGATTTTGGTTTGTTTAGCTTATTGAAAACAAGGCCATTATCACTAGATTTATATGAAGAAAAAGTTAGTTTTTTCCCCAGCATTTTAGGAAGTCATCATCATTTTACAAGATGTTCATCGGTTACCATGGTAATTTGTACAAAGATACAGGGAAGATCAGTGATGATAACAGTGTGTTTTTATCTTGTTCGTAGCATCATGCAATTTTCTTGGTGGGCAAAGGAGTTCAAAGAGAAAGCAAAACAGGGCTTGAGAGAATTAACAAGTGGTAGTATATAAAGTACTTTTCTAAAAACATTAGTTCATTAAATTGCAGTGTGGCGTGTAAAGAAAGAGGCAGTTTAATAATCTCCAACATTGGTAATTACATGGCATCAGTTCCTGCACTGCAAAAATTCAAGCAGTTGAAATGACTGAATGTAGAACTATATGCAAGAACTACATGATTAAAATGCAAAGAACACAATCACTGCCAGAGAAGTGCTGTTAAAATGTGCTTTAATTTTACACCAGCTATTCAGCCCAGCCAAGAAACTTGCTATGATCCACGTTTTCTAGTGACGATGTATTTCTTGTTTGTTTTGTTTTGTTTCCAATGTGATTTTTTCTGTGTTTTTTATTTAGAACCTTATCCTAACATTGATTCATTATCTATTAACTACATACGTCCTTGATAGTAAGAGTCATAAAGTTTGTGATTTGCTGGTGGATCATCTGTAGAGCTCTTGGCAATATTTGATATATTCACTTCCATGATGACATTGGGTATTTTCTGTGATATCAGTGGTGTCCCTTATCATCCCTTTCCTGTAATTTTATCACCTATTTTGATTTAAATTATTCTCCGTTTCTCAAAATAGAACCCCTCCCATTTTGCCCTTTCCAAAGAGCCTTTCATATTTTCCCCTGTTAAGAATCTTCCTTCACCACAGTGTAAATCATACTCTATTGTGCTGAATGTATGTCATTTAAGTGTGGCATGTCATTATCAACCTTTGCATTTGAAAACCTTGTTGAAAGATCAAAAACAAAGAGCAACAGAGGTGTTAAAATAAACTCAGGAGAAGATACAATGACTCCTCCAAGTTTTCTTATCTTAACCTGGGCAAATACCTCATATTTTAACACAATAATGTGCAAATAGAACACACCAAAGGAACAGATGTTGTTATATTCTAATAATGCCTATCAGATCTTACATGTTTTTTTGCTTTTTAAATACATTCTGGCAATACAATATACTATTTATGCAATCATGTTTCAAAGAAGAGCCAGAACACGTAACTCTTGGGAAAATGACTGCAACTATAAACCAAATGAGGCGTAGCTTTATTTTTTACTTCTGAAATCACTTTCCAGAGTTTTGCTGAATGTTTTTCTACAACCAAAGTCTGCAACAGTGATAACCTTTTCTTTCTCTCTTTTTTATATACTTGCGTGAAAACAAAAGTAACTGGTTCTGCTTTGTGGCCTGATTATGAGCTTTAAGGCCACATGCCCACAAAGGTGCTCAGCACCCCTGCAGTGCATCAAACAGTGAGCTGGTTAAGGTCTTATGAGTTTGGATAGAGTGAGGAATGTGAACCTTCACATGGTCATCTGCAAAAGAGAAAGCTCATTAAAGTCTGCACTTTAGGGAGCGACTGTGGTTTGTTAAGAAGTAAAATAAAAACATTTTGTCGCTGCCTCAAACTTATCATCTCCCACTGCTGGCACTGAGGTAAACATCTAATATACAAAAAAGTAGAGTACAAAAAAGAGGTAATTTTTAAAAAGTGTGCAGGAAGTATGGAGTCAAAGGAAACAAGTGTACAAGAGAAGATGCACCAGAGCTGCAAGGATGTTTTACTGTTGTAACTGTTAAACTGTTGGCTGACTTGAATAAGCTGAGATTTGTATTTATTGTGATCAGAATGGACAGGATCAGAAATAAACAGATGAGAGGAAGTGCTGCGGTTGAAAAGAGAATTGAGAGAAAAAAAGGACAGATGGCATTTGAATTTTCGACAAAGGCGAATCTAAAGAGACGGTTTAATTTTCTGTTGTTTTTGATTGTTGTGCAAAGTTCACCTAACTGCAACGGCAGTCATTGTAGTGAGGGCTGTGACCTCTTGAGCAGATCGGGCGGGTGATTATGATATTGAGAAGTTTACACTCATCTCTGTTCCCACATGAAAGGAGTAACATAATATCACTCAGTGTGAAACGGAAAAATGACTCACTTTAACGACAAGCGGAGTGTGAAAATCTCTGTCTGTACATGGTTATATTAAATATAGACTTTTTTTTTCAATAGTTATTAGCAATTATTAGATGGATGGACTGATTTGAAACTCACAACTCGTTTCTATTTAGAAAATAATGTGAATAGAAAAAAAAAGAATGATAATAAAGACTGAGATTTAGGACTACAGTTCTGACTCCTTTTAACTTTTTTTGAGTATTAGTATACTTGGATACTCAACTATATACAAGGAGTATGACAACAACACCCTGAAGAGACTGGATGCTGTCTGTTCAACTTAACTTTGGAAACTTTGCTTCTGGGTCTTAAATTACATTACTGAACAACACAAATGATCACATTTCCGGCTGTTAATCACTTAGCAGCTGATGGTATTGTGAATTCTTATGTTTTGCCTTTTAACACACAGCCTGTATATGTTATGCTACAGAGGTTATAACATTTATTTCAAACATTTCAAAACATTTCTTGCAATTCATATTCTTCTTGAAGCAGCAGTACAAGTGCACACATCTCCCTTATCTCTGCTGCGAGTCCCTCAAATTGCTATCAAATTCTCAAGAAAAACTCAGTCATCATGCACAGGAAGGCAGATGTGTCTTATGCTATTTGGTAGGTTAAGTTCTGAACAGACATATTTTACTCATGTTACATCTGCCAGTTTAATGAAGTCAGAAGTGGAAAGCAGTAAATCTGTTTGAGTAGAGTAGAGCAGAGTAGAGTAGAGTAGGGCATGTTATGGTAGGTATGAAGAGATGTAAAAACCAGAAGGCAGCAAGATGTCAATGTTAAAAGTGTCTGTAAATTTAATATTGGAGTTATAATGTGGATGTTTCTTTTAGTCTATTTATGTTTTCTTTAAAATTGTTACCCTTTGAAACAAAAAGGAAGGATGCTTATGACCCAGGTGCAGTGCTGGAGAAAGGAAATGTGTTTGGTAGTGAACCCGCCGCCCAGATTCTCACAAGTGAGGTGTCAGGTTATCTAAGGCCATCCAAATGTCCCAGTGGGACACAGTCATGTAAATTAAACAGGTTGAAAACAAATAAACACCAGAAAGAATGATTTATTTAACACAATAGATTGAAAATATGTAGTTTTGTATTTTTTAAAAGCGGAAAATCAAGTTTGTTGAAGTTATCAGAGCATGCATCACACTAGCATCTCTGTGGTTTTATCTGCACTACTTGCTCCTGGGTTGTGGTGAGTGTATTCTGGGAGGTGTTGATTTAAAAAAAAAAAAAAAAACACTTGCATTGAAATGAAGCATATTGTGTGTGTGTGTGTGTGTGTTATTTGTAATTTAAGTCATCAGTGATATGAAAGCAGAAGTTCAAGGTTCTCACAAAGTGAACAGTTGAGCTGAGCCCAACTTGTTTCTGCAGCAAGTGGAAAATGAATGTAGTAAATTTCTCTGGTGTGGGATAAATGGAGTCTTATCCAAATTCAGTGATAAACCTCCAAATAATAAAATGTATTTTAAAGTATTTACCTTTTTTTTTGTTAGCATAGGCTTTCTGAGCACACTAGATTTGTTTAAGTAGTTTGTGTAATATTACATAGTTAAATTATTGTATCCATAATTTTAATCCACCATTCAATTTAAAAAAAAAGGAAACGTGGTCACCGTAGAAAGCAAATACTTCTGTGCAGTGTGTTGTTTTGTGAGTTTGTTTCACTTGTGGTTCGGAGGTATTTACGCAGCTCTGCTTTTTCCTTGAAGTTGAAGCATCACATTCATTCGTGAATGCTGCGGTTTTTACTCCTACACACGAAACACAAATGTGTGGGGGCAAACGAGGTGCTCAGTTTATTTTGTATTTTTTTTAAGGCTGTACTTTCATCGCATATACATTTACATACTAAAAAAAACATGTTTTATATCTAATTAATTTCCCCTGTGTTCTTCTCTTTTATCTCACAGGTAATCCGCTGTTTAAGAATATTCACGTCAGAGAGAAAGCCCTTACTACAGTTTTATGTCTCCAGCTTAGCTTGGCTTTTTCTGGTCTTATTTCTGAAGACACCAGCACATTGGAACGAAGCGGTCCTCAGAGAAAGTGCGTCTGATCTGACCTCAAATGTTCATCAACAAAGTTTTGGCTTTTCTTCTGCTATTTTTAAATACATGAATCTAAACGTTAAAGAGTTTGTATGTCTTTCCAAAAATGTTCCCTACCATGGACGACATGGATGCTCTCTTTGAATCAGGTTGACCATTTCTCACTTCATCCCCTCCTTCCTGTCTCTTTAGTAGAGGGAGGGTGGGGGATTAGTGTGGCGCCCCCTGCCTCCCTTAATAAAATTCACTTGTCCAACAAGGCATCATAACAGCAAATCTTCTCGACTGCTGTGTCAACCAACAACATCCCTCTGTTCCCACTCCCTCTTCATGAAATCCTTGCAGAGCCTCAAGGAAGAGGTTTCCATTCCTAGTCTAGGCGGGATGTCACAGGAAGAAGGTCGTAGGACAACAGTGTCCCAGTCCTATTTTCACTCCGCTAACCCAGATCTGGATCTGACGGGCAAGCTGTATAAGAGGGAAGTCGGTGGCAAGCCATATTCTGTTTTAGTGGACAATAAAATGGCGGCCAAAGCATCCAGCGGAGACCAGAACATTGGTCAGTTGCCCACACAACATACCGCTCCGCAGCAACATCAGCAGTATTTCAGAGAGGGAGGAGCAATGCTGGAAGCAGAGAAGCAGGGGTCCCAGGCTGGTAACAATGGCACTTCTGATGACACTGAAGACGATGATGAGGAAGAGGAGGGTGAGGATGAAGAATGTGACGAGGAGGCATTCAAGCGTGAACAGATCATTGTCGAGGTAAACCTGAACAACCAGACCCTTCATGTATCCAAGGGTGACAAAACTGGAACAACGCCCGAAGACTCTGAAAGAGCGGGCAGTGATGACGAAGACGAGGATGAGGAAGAGGAGGACGAGGATAGCATGGAGGAAGAGGAAGAGGATGATGAGGAAGATGAACTTGAAAGCCGAAGAACGAGGTCGAAGAGAGCCCGGAGATGTGTCAGTAGCACAGCACCTTCTGGTCAGCCACGAAGGAAAAGCCTCAGATCATCTCTGAGCACACCTGCCACTGGAATGACCACCAGGGGGCGACGAAAGCGCCTGGAGGCCCCGAAGAGCAATCGTAGATCAGCCAGGTCTGTGCCAACTTCTGCGGGTTCCATGTCTGCAGGTTCGGGAGGCAAAGGAGAAGCGGAGGAGAAGGAGATGCTGGCGTGTGAGAAATGCCCTCGCGTGTTCAACACACGCTGGTACCTGGAGAAGCACATGAACGTCACACACAGGAGAATGCAGATTTGTGACAAGTGCGGCAAAAAGTTTGTCTTAGAGAGTGAGCTGGCCTTACATCAGCAGACTGACTGTGAGAAGAACATTCAGGTAAAGTCTGCACCATTTTTATTTCACATAAAGTTTTAGTAAGTTAGATTTAGGACCTGTCGGCCAAACCAATCAGGTCATTGCATATTGCCATATGTTTTCTGCTATCTGCTCAAATGGACCAAACAGTGCACAATGAGCTTTGCACAGGCAGCTATTGCAGGTGTAAGAAGGGAAAAGACAAGAGATCACACTTTTACGGTTACTGATGTTACTGCAGGGTTTATTTATATATTATATTTATAATATTTATATATATATGTTATATATTTAAAGAAAACTAGCAAGTAGAACAAAAATAATTACTTGATTTTTGTGTCACTATTTGTTGATTTTGAAGTTGGCCGTATCTACACATGAAACTGATTTCAATATGTAGATTCTAAACATGGTATTTATACTTTCCCCCCTCCTACATCTGTGATCATTGTAACAAATAGAAAATAAAATTGTGTTAGTCTGACATTAATGTTTGCATACACCTGTTATATTTGGGTACAACAACCCTGCTGTGGTATAAAACCTGAAACCTTTTTTTTTTTTTTTTTAAGTTAGTTGCATTTAAAAAAATGTTGGTACGCTTGGTTGACTATGTGATACCATATTCACACATTTTGTGCACACACACAGTCTGGTTTTATGAGTAGTTTTTGTGAGTGCTTCACATAGACATAATGCAGTCCTTAACCCGTTACTGTAGCATTATCCTTTACAAATGTATGCCAGAAAGATGTCCCCATGATTTAAACAAATGTTGGTACGCTTGGTTGACTATGTGATACCATATTCACACATTTTGTGCACACACACAGTCTGGTTTTATGAGTAGTTTTTGTGAGTGCTTCACATAGACATAATGCAGTCCTTAACCCGTTACTGTAGCATTATCCTTTACAAATGTATGCCAGAAAGATGTCCCCATGAGGACATACGGTGGCCACAACAAAGCATTTTAACAAAGAAAAGTCCCCACAAATATAGCTTTACCTAGACCACAAACACCCAGTATATTTAGACCAACTGGTTGCAGGAACATCTTTTGTAGATTCAACATAGTTGCATCTGCATAACAGCATCCTAACACCTGTAGCATGCTCTCTGCCTGAGTCCTTCAGGCTGATACTAAAATGTAAACATCAGCAAAGATAATAATCTTGTAAAGTTCCACTCCTATAAAACTACAGTGCTGATTTGTAGCAATGGGTAATGAATGTGGTATAGTCGAAATTACTTTGTATTTTGCTGAGAATAATTTGCATGTTTGACCAGTCGAAATTCTATGAAAGAAGTTGTGTGTGAACATGGTGAAACATTCTGCATTGAAATACTACACACTTTTTTATTTCTTGCAAGAGGACACACTTGCTGGATACAGACACAGCACATAAACATGCAAATGTGTGTGTTGACGAACTGTTTAACAGCAACTGAGTGGTTAAGGTACATCCGCCTGCAGCTTCACGTGGTTCGGCATGGTTGGGCTTACACATGTGGGAGTAAAAATACGTTGTCAAAGGAAACTTCTGTCCCACAGTACTTTAACTATTAGAAATACAACTGACATCTTTAAACATTTTTACACGTCATTTCTCAGTAGCTGTATTTGATCCGTGTTGGTGTTTATGTCTGAACTCTTGTCCATCACCAGTCGAAGTCAGTGATGACACTGCCACACTGACCAGACTCAGCACTGAACACGTTCAGCCTGTAGTTCTGTTTTTAGCTCCTGTTCCCTCATTGAACCAGATAACTTTTATACCAATAACGTTTTAACATTCAACATCATTTATGGCCGACATTGTTTTTTTTTTTTACTGTTATTGGCAGATGTGATGGGTTGTGGACCAGGTTCCTTGTTTCACAACTGTTCAAGTGAACTATGCTTAACCACTCAATGGTTCGTTTGAACTGAACAGAGTAGAAAGAGAACCAGCTTTTTATATTTTACACTTTAGATATAATTTTATGTAACCCCACAGTCAGTTCACTCATTATATACACGAAAAGAGGATGGCCTGATAGATATGCTTTTGAGCACACAAAAAACATAAGCAGGAAGTCATCAGTTGTCTGATGACAGTGAGATTCTGTCAATGGTGCACAGATGCAGAATTCCATACACCTCTGATACATTTTAATTTTAATACTTTTAGATTGTATATTTTATTACTCTATATAAACATTTTGCAATCCTTCATTCATTTTCTTATCTAAACATCAGCAACATGTGAGGTTGCATTAGTTTATTTTTATATATTACAAACCAAAGCCCCCACCCCCATTAAATGTATGTGCCTAATTTGTAGAAATGTTTGGTGTTGAGGGCAATATGGAAAGCTAAATGCTCATACACGTAATTTTCTTTTTAAATTAAATTCATGACGAGTTTATACCAGCAGATGGAGCTGCAGAGTAAGAATAATTATTTTTATAGTTGAGAAACATCTATACCGTCCCTTTATTTTTTTCTGGTAAATGCAATACTGTGTTGTCTTATTAATTTTTTGCTTTTTACATTTTTTTTGTTTTGTTTTCCTGTCCTGCAGTGCGTCTCCTGTAACAAGTCTTTTAAGAAACTGTGGTCACTGCACGAGCACATAAAAATTGTGCACGGCTATGCAGAAAAGAAGTTCTCATGTGAAATCTGTGAGAAGAAATTCTACACAATGGCTCATGTCCGTAAGCACATGGTTGGTAAGTGTCTTTTGTTTTACATTTTTGAACCTAAGTATTAGTCTGAGCCACCACACGTGTCAGGTCTTCAATATTCCATCAGTTTTATTTAACATTCTTTTTCTATGCTTCCCCCCATTCACAGCTCACACCAAGGACATGCCCTTCACCTGTGAGACATGTGGAAAGTCATTTAAACGCAGCATGTCTTTGAAGGTCCACTCACTCCAGCACTCTGGAGAGAAACCGTTCCGTTGTGAGGTACGACGCGGTGGTTATGAATGCGGTTCTGACATAACATTCTCTCTCCATTCTCCATTTGTAGCCTGAAAATATGTATGCTCAGTGAGCAGCGTCTTAAAATCTGACGTTGTAGCATTGAGAATAAGGTTGGAAAGGGATTAGGTTGGTTATTTAATTCCCAGATTATTTTTGACTTTTCACAGTTACTTCAACACATGATCTTTAATTGCGAATACTTTGACATTTGGTCATATGACTTGAATGACAGCTATAATACCATATTCCTCATGCACATTCTGAATATATTTACTGTTGACAATATCAGCATCAGCTCTGCCAAACAACATTGGAGAGAACACAGTAAAAGGTGTCGGAAAAAATAATTTGATTGACATTAATGTCTATAGCAGTAGACAGTACAGGCTCAAGAGTCTGGGAGATGCTTCTTTGGCATTGACATTCTGTCAAAGAACAAGGGTTTTCATCTCTGACATCACTCCTGTTCCAGTGTTGAGGTCTCATAAATACATGTATGATGATTTCCATTGTTGGCCCATGCAACACGCCATTGACGTTTGAATGCATGTCGCTGTAGTAGAAGGTTCAGTTCTTATGAAAGGAGACGTACGAGTTACAAACATGCATTGTCAAATATCCATGTATGGTCTTTACAAATTTGAAACGCCTTGATAATTTTAAACTTTCTTGAAAAGCACAGCCAAAATGTAATTTGTGGGCATTCATTTAGGAATGATTTAATGTGGTCTGTGTCCCTGGCTAGTTATTTTAAGTAACCCCCATTGGAGCAGGAGGCTCCTGTCAGTTGTGTTACTACAGCGGCCTCTACAGGTCGACATGTCCATTTACAGCAGGTTTTGTTCTTTTGATTATTTTGAAATTGTTTTGACTGAGTCACTTTTTTATGGACGGTACTTTAAGCCAAGCCTATGGGGCAATTGGTGAAGGAACACAATGAAATCACATTGTTATAATAATAGAAAATGACTGATAATGTCATAGTAAGGACGCAGTCTCCACCGTGTGGCGTTTAAAAAAACTGTCTGTTGGAGAAGAAAAACATTGTTTTCTAAGTATGCATAACGTGAAAGAAAATACATTTTAAAAACTCAATATGTTGCGCAGCCCTCTTTGCAGTTCTTAGTGCTAGTTTTCTAATTTGACATGTCACTGTTGAATTTTGCTACTGGACAAAACCACAGTAACTCTTTGAGTCATTCTAAATACTTGAGAAAACAACCAGAGGAGCCAGGTCAAATATTTGAAAACTAAACAAGTAGCTTTCCCCGGGTTAAACCAAAGGTTTCCATCGTAGGAGACGTGAAACATTTTATTTTTTTTCAACACAGTTTGTCAAGTTGTGTTCCAAAGTTTGTATTTTGTTTTTCAGTTCTTTTAACTGTTAATGATCTGAACCCTTAGGGAGTTGACAGATGGGATGATTTCCTCCCACCAGAGAACCTTTAATATCCATCTACATAAATGAACCAGTCTCAGGGAACATGTGTGCACGGGTGGAGCCGCACTAATTAAATGTTCCAAATCATACTCCACTGTAACATGTAATTTCAATGTGTATTAAAAGGTTATATGTAATGTACATGTTTCCTGCTGTCAGACCTGGAAGGTTTTTTGTTGTTTTTTTTTTATTAGAAAATCACTAGAATTCTTTTGTACAGTCTCATAAGCAAAATGGTTAGAGTGATATCAGATGCTGCTTCCTAACGTGCGTTATCCTTGTAAGACAGTTGCTGATGTACTTCAAACTATAGCTTTTTTAATACAATATTCGTAAAAGAGGAAGGAAGTATGAGGAAAACCTCATGGATTTGTTTGTGTCATCTTCTGCCACAGAACTGTGACGAGCGGTTCCAGTACAAGTACCAGCTGCGCTCACACATGAGCATCCACATCGGGCACAAGCAGTTCATGTGCCAGTGGTGTGGCAAAGACTTCAACATGAAACAGTATTTTGATGAGCACATGAAAACACACACAGGTGAGAGACGACCACAGTTGACCGTCTGTCTGTCTTTTCTCCAAACTTCTTCTGCCCACACAGTGTTAGGAATAATTATTTTTAAAAAAAGAAAAAAGAAGGCATCTTGTTTCTAATTCTCAAACCAGTTTGTGACTAAGACTGTTTTTCTCAATGACTAACAGGAGCTTGTAAGAAGATATGATATATTCCAAGAAATAACAGATTAACATTAAAGTTATTTTAATATGCTGATTTGTATTAGTCATATGAGATATTTTACATAGTATTTGACATCATTAAATTACAATTTACTAGCAGTTGGCAGTATTTTAAATAGCAGTGACAACGAGGCCTCAAATATACGGAAATACAGAAGTAAGGCCATCAGACAAAAAAGCCTTTGATTAAAAAAAGATAATTGTGTCTGTGGCAAAATATATATTTTTTTTTTTTTTGCTGCAGAGCTTTTTTTCTTCCATCTGTTATTTTCCCTGTTGAAATGTCAGGCACAGTGAATAGCAGTGAATAGCAGGTTTGCTGTGTTGCACGCATAACTTAACTTCCTTACAAAGCAATTTTGTTCATTTTTGTTTCTTGGCTTCGTTGAAAGTTTTCTCTTACTGTCTAAGTCAGTTTTGTTACTGCAGGTAGGATTTAATTCTCTAGCTAGCATTTACTGTAGTGAGTCATTTCTTTCTGTGTAGTCCACATTCACAATACATTTGTCTTGGGTTGACTTGAAGGAATATATGAACTGTTCATGTTATATTGAGTTTATATTCACAATACAAAGTCCAGCAGAGGGTCTGCCTTGGCAAAGACAAAAGGGGGAGAGGGGAGCAGGAGTGGACAGTGCTGTAATACATAAAAAAAAAAATATATAATTCAGTCAGTCAGTCAGTCAGCTCGTCTCTGTGATCCTTAAAAAAGACAGGACATGAGGTCTCTGCCAGCAGGAACATTATAGTGGTAGGAGCTGAGCCACTTTGCATAGTATTTATAATGAGAGGGACATTTCACATCAAAGTTGGACCCATGTATACAGTATAGCGTGGCTTATAATTACAACCTAGACACATGGTGTTTCACATGCCTTTGATTTTCTGTCCTGTTGCCTTTCTATTTCTAAAGCCAAAACCCTGTACATCCCTCCATGATTTTCTCAAGCTGTGCCTGTCGTGGGTGGACACGGCGTTCCACTGGCCCTGGTGGTTATATTTGGGACATGTAATTACAATGCCCTCTCCTCTCCCTGCCACTAGAAACCAATTTAGTCTCCAGCAGGAGGAGACACACCCAGGCACAGTCCTGTAATAGGCAGCGCACATGTTAAACACCCAAAGTTTGGTTCACTGCACCCTGTTTTTTCATGCGATTTTTTTTTAAACCCCAAACTTCAGCACATCAGCTTTTACCTTTTGATATTCAATTGGTGTGGAACAGCTTCACACATAACATGCCAGAGAGAGGCAGTGAGAGTCCTTCAGCAGCCTGTTAATAGACGGCTGTGTGGGTGGTGCAGGCACATTCAGTGGCTCCATGGAGGGAGGTTAATGAGAGCAGCATTCCATCCAAGCTCCTGTTGTTCATTTTCACATCTCTTCTTCACCAAGTGTGAATGGTAATAGCTTCCTGTGGAGTGGGTGGGTTGACAGCAAAGACCCTCCATTTAAGTTAGCATCTTATTTGCATTTTTAAAGCTGCTGCTGTCGTCTTCGCAAAGAAATGTCTGATCGTGAGGGGGGAAATGTTAACTTTGTGACTCAAAGATATTCAATCAAGTCTTTCTTGTTTTTTTGTTTGTCAAGTCTTTCTTGTTTTTCACATTTATATAGAGTTTTCAAATAACATTTTCACACAAGGTTATTCCACTTAAGGCTTGAGGTGTTAATTGGAAATTTAAGAAGAAATTATTCCATCGAAAATATATGTTTGTATTTATTTTCTAAAGTTCCATGTATTTTACAACAGGACAATGTCAGACAAAAGAGCATGAACCTGTAGACTTGTAATCAGACTACTTGGATCAAACACTGTTGAGCTGTTGACATTTTATATACAGTAGAACAAAAGAAAAAAATCCACACCAAAAACCTAGTTCCTAGAAGGTTTTTTGGTGGCTTTTATCATACAAACATACAGTTTCTTTTCAGGTACATTACTGAGCTAAATACATTATTTGTTTTTATATAACAAAGAATTTACCTTCAATGCTTTCATCATTTTTATAGCTGTGCATTTTTGTCGAGAGGTTCAGTGTTGGTCTCCCTCACACACTTGTCTCTTATTTTCTAAATCTGTGCAGGAGAGAAGCCTTTCATTTGTGAGATCTGTGGAAAGAGCTTCACCAGCCGACCCAACATGAAGCGCCACCGCCGCACCCACACAGGGGAGAAGCCCTATCCCTGCGAGGTGTGTGGCCAGCGGTTCCGCTTCTCCAACATGCTGAAAGCACACAAAGAGAAGTGTTTTCGGGTCACCAGTCCAGTGGTTCTGCAGACCAGCAGCCCGGCCGTGCCTGTCCGCCTTTTCACCAACCCTTTCTCCTCTTCACCGTCGACCACCTCTGGCCCCGGACACTCAGCTGCCCACCCGGCCACCACCTCCACTTCCCTGGGCGTCAGTCCCACGGGAGGGCAAATGCCTCCGCGAGGCCCAGTGGGACACACGTACTCCAATGTGCAGATCCACTCGAATCCTTCTCACCATCATCCTCACCCCCCAACAACACAACAACACCTCTCAAACACATCCCAACACGCCCCACCTCACCCCCACCATCACCTGTCTGTCCCCCCGGTTTCACACCTTCCTCCACCCCCTGCGCTTTTCAAGAGTGAGCCCTTAAACCACTGTGGTCATGAAGACAGTGGCTACCTGCACCACATGACCCTCTCTGACAAAGGTCCTGGAGCCCCCCAGCACCACTGAACTGTGCTGCGCCACCATGGGGCCACACAAAACAGCACCTTGTTTTTTGCTTCTAGTCCTGCCTCAGTCTCATTGTTGCCAGACACATAATACAAAAAACATTTTTAATCAGCTATAAAGAGGAAACAAGCTTAGGATACACCTAGGCGTAGGTGTGAAAGATTCTGTGACAGACTGAGTTTTCATTTTATTTAAGAGTATAGACCTCCTCTGAGAGAAAAACCAGATCCATTGACAAAGATTTAAAAAACCTTTAAATTCTTCTCTGGAAGATTTTCTAATGAATTCTACACCAGACACTTTCCGTGCATACATTTTGTTTTCCAGCATTAGCAGCTGATGGAAGTCACGTATTTGTACACTATGTTCATGGATGGTTAAACTTCAATGTCATCAAACTATCACCTTTAATTCAACCTGTCTTAAAGTTGCACAGTGTTGCTTTCTGTGCAGATCTTTCCCACAGCAATACTCTTCGTCAAAGTATGTGAACCGAGGTCTGTGGAGCCTCACAGACGTGGAATGAATGTTGTATCTGGCTCTACTCTGTCGCCGAGCTCTTTTCAGACATGTAATTTGAAGATTGGACATCAGGGCTATAAGTGTGAATGTGTAGGACACCCAGATGTTGGTAGAGTAAATAAGTGGAGAGGTCCTGCTTTATACATGTACAAGTCAGGCTGTAGTCATATCCATCAAACTTCACAGTTTCTGATGTGTTTGAATTTACCCCTCACTCAGACAGTAGCCCCTTTGACACCGACAGTCCAGGAACTTTCTGACCACCTTGATCCAGACCTGACCAGACATCTTAAAAACCAGTAAACTATAGATTTAGGTCAGGTTGACATTATGCATCAGCTAGTACACATGCTCAGTGAGCAAATTAATGAATCTTCTTTCTGTACTTTGGTCTTGTAGGAGAAGCCGGAGCAGACGCTGTGGCCTCTCTTTTTTGAGGGACTCAAAGGCGTTGCCTGTACATTTGATGCAAATGCAGAAGGTCCAAGTTCAAAACCAGCTACTGCCCTAAACTCACACTCTTGGTAAAACCTGGGTGAGTGGTTTCAGTCAGGACATCCACAATAATATTTAAAAAATCTAAACCAGCATAGATGTGTCATGTTAGCTCCCGTTAACTGTTTGTAGCTCAGATGCTAATGCTGTGCTACCACAGCTGCCTTTACAAAGCGCGGAAAGCTCAGCCTCATTAATCGGTAAATCTATCGCCTTGAGCTACAACGTACATAGACATGAACACATTATCGTCTGATAACATGCATTCTCCCAACAGTTTAATCTGGAGCCCAAGTTTAGAGTTTGGATATTGTTTATAACTGACAGAAGTGAAACACCCTGTTTATTTTGCCAGTGTTGTGCTTTTCTTCCTAGTATTTTATATGACACAATACACACCAAGGTCACTGGCATTATTTGTTCCACACAGGCAGATTGTTGTGTAAATGCACATGCTTGAACGAAGATAGAACACCATCAAGGGCATTCATCACATCATTGGTGTCAGAGGGGCTAATGTCTGTGTTTGTCATTTGTCACAGTTCAGATCCAAAACTCAGGATGTATCTCCAAAGAGAGTTCATGTCTAAAAACAGCTCTGGACTGACCTTAGTTGAAAGCTGAGACTTGCTGTCTGGGTCAACAGATGTAGGGCAGGATAAGTGGCCATAGGTTCCGGAAAGGAATGTGTTTGTAAGACGTTTAAAATTTGTAAATGTTGAGTCTGGACATCTCTCAGTCTCAGATTTACATCATTTCAATGGTGCTTCTCATTCCAGTATGTAAAAAAAAAAAGTTTCTTAACCTTGCTTTGGCGTCAAATTTACCAAAATTGTTATATTAAACATTAGCAGTATATATTGTGACATATACAGTAGATCCACT